AACGAAAATAATGTTATGGTTGGGGGTCACCACAACATGAGGAACTGTATGAAAGGGTCCAGGCATTAGGAAGGTTGAGAACTACTGCTCTAGGCAATGACCCTGCCCTTCGGACTCTGGGTGTTGGCCCTATGGTTCAGCTTTGCCTTCCAGGCCCCCAAGGGACACAACTCTGCTTTGTTGGCTTTGGGTTGTCCCATTCTCCTGGCCCAACTGAGTGGCACCCCAGCAGCCCCACTCCACTGCTTCTTGGGTATGGCAGCCCACTGACTCAGCTTTGAGCAGCAGATCCACTCCCACCTTTCTGGCACTTGTCACCAGCAGCCCGACGCCCTGGCACCAAGTTAGTGAAGACCTGTGTATTAGGCAGGGTTCTCTAGGGAAACAAAACCAGGACACAAGAGAGAGAGAGAGAGAGAGATTTATACAGCACAAAGAAATCTTAACAGCTAATTAATCCACACAGCAGTACAGAAGACTCAATTTAATTCACTTCCATGGAACAGTTACTATACTGGAAATCCTTCAACTCACAGGGCTGCCGGGTCCAAGGTCAAGGAAGCAGACAGCTGAGACTTCCTTTGGGCAATGCAGGCAGAATCCACCCACAGGCAGCAAACAGCAGGGCGGGCCACCAACAGTCAGCAGCTCAGGAGCTTAGTGAAGCAGGCCCGGGTGGAATAGCGAACTCCAGCAATGCAAGATGACAAAATCTGCCAGCCTCAAGCTCAATCAATGTACACACCAGCAGCGTGGGGAAACAGGTCTCGAAGGAACCTCAGGCTCTAGCGACACAATCCATGGGTTGGATGGCCCACAGGTGGTGTAGTTCTCAAGTTGAGACAGAGAACTAGCTGAAGTAGCCTCATGCTGGTCCAATCACCAGAGAGTAAGAGGCGGGCCTTGCTGAGCCATTTATCTCTTTGCCCGCCAATCAAACTGCAACCTGATTAAGCCCATGTGTTCCTATTGACCAGGTTGGCACAATAAACCTACCTCTCACAGCCTCACTCTCTGAAACCTGGAAAGCTGTGGTCCCAACTTTGAAACCCCCCAGTCATGGCCCTACTATTGAGGCCCTACTCTGCTTCCCGTGCTCCTTGTCTCTTTACCTTTCTGGTTCCTTAGCATCTCAGCCCCTTGACCCAAAAAGGGCTTCTAAGGTTGACTTGGCCTCTGCTCTGAATAGGCCACTGTGAGCAAAGCTTCTTATCTCTACTGATAAGTGCCTCCATGTACCACACTCCAGCAGTAAGCCTGACTGAAGGCACTCAGGGTACATGCACCATGAGCAACCTGCCATGCTGTCTCATGCAGTCCCCTGGTTCTGCTGCTGCTGTTTCTCTGCCGCAGGGTCCCACCATCTATGCCACTTTCAGAGTTAGAGGTCACCTCACTTCCTTCTGTATCCTCAGCAGAATTCCCAGGCATGCCCATAATTCTACCAATAATCTCTTTGAGGCGAACTAGGCTTTCACTGTCAGGCATCTTAAAACTCTTCCAGCCTCTAGCCACTAACCAACTCCAAAACTGAGTCTGTCTCTTCGGGCTCTGTTACTGCAGGATTCTCCTCTTGCTGCCAAATCTGCCTGCCTTATGTCCAGTGCTGCTGGAACAGACATCCCACAAGTGGCTGGCATTCACGAGAAGGGATTTATTCTCTCCCAGGTTAGGAAACTAGAAGTCCAAACTCAGCTGTCAGCTCTAGGGGAAACTTTCATCTCTGGGACTGCCCTCGGGGCGGTCTTTATTTCCTTTTGGCAGCTTGTCTTTGGGGTTGGCATCCCATGGAGATCCCCATGGATTTTGGGATCAGTCTGCTCCTGGGCCTGGGTGTTTTTCAGCCTGGGGACCCCAGGACAAAAGAACACGCTCCACTTCCAGCTCTTCTTTCTTGGCAGCAGTCAGTTTCTCTATAGATTTACTGCTCTCTCTCTTTTTTAATCTCTTAAAAGGTAAAGGGGGTCTGTAGGCATCTGCTGGCAATGCCCTTTGTATCTGATCAGGGTTGTGAGCTGAATAAGAATGTTGCATCCCACCCTAGTCCATTACAGCTGATGGGCAGGTCACATTAGAACTCCTCATGGTGGGTGGAGAGGAGGTGATTGCCTGTCAACCCACTGAAAATCCCAAGTTGATGAGTATTTTGGGTAGACACAATTTACAATACCTTCCAAGGTAATACTTTAGAAAATCTTTTATGGAAATAGCCACTTAGCCTGATTGCCTGAGTTCTGATGTTCAGTTAGATTCCAATCACCTATGTCTGTCCCTTTTCCAATCATCGCATATTCCCCCTTTAATCAGGAGGAAAAGGATGGAGGCAGAATGGCTAAAATATTCAAGATGGTTTGTTGCACTCAGTGTTCCACTCAATTTCTGATTATTGAATTCACCATAAAGACCAATTAAAAGGGTTATGGTAATTGGCTTTTCAACTCAAGATGAAAAAGGGTGGAAGCAGGGCGGGAAATTGAATGCTGTGGACAACATATACATTTTAATTCTACTTCACAGGGACACAATTTAATGTACTGAATAGGATGACACATCATTTCAGTTGCAACTTCCTTGTCTCATGTTTCAAGAAACCTTTCCATCCTGGACAAACCTTGATGGCTGGTTACCCTGTCTGTACGACGAGTTTTTGACAAGAGTACTTGTTTGAAGTTAACTTGAAAAAAAAGTTTTCCAAGGGTTGGAAAGATAGGGTTAAAACAAAATCCCTACATCTACTTTGGAAGGGAAAAAAATCTCTTACTTGTACTGATGGGAGAAAATGATCAGGAAGCACTTGGCACTTGGAATATGCACCTAACTAGCACTGAGGGGCTGGTCTGACCCTCAGGTGTTTCACTGCGGCATTTGTGGAGATGTGCATTTCCAAGGGCAAGAGAAGAGCCATCTCCAAGAGCTTCATTTAAAGAAGGACACAAGGCCAACTTGAAAGGGAATAAAGGCCACACTTGGGGGGGGGGGGGGGCGTCCTGCTGTTATTCCCCTGCAAATTTAATTCAAACAGGCATTGAGATCTGAAACATGGAGATAGCCCCAAATGAGAGGATACTTGGATTTTTTTAAAAGGAAAGAAAAGAAATCCAGGACACAGAGAACTATCTGAAAGCAGCATAGTGGTTTCTTTTCATGTTAGTCATTAGTGCGCTGAACATGTTTTGAAACTGTGTACTGTGATTTCCTTTATATGAAATATGCATCTTATACATTTTACAATTTACAGATAGACACTTGGCATCTAGAAGGATTAGTTCTACACATATACCATTCAACTAGTGTTAAAGAGATCTAAAGACCATCTAATGCTATCTGGATTTTATCATTCAAAAATGTAACTCTTTTGAATGCTATCATGTTAAATGCAACGATTTAGAGAAACCTCTTGTAGACAATGGTGTGTTTCCAAACAGTTTAAGAATCTACACCACTCATAAAACTGATGGTACCCCTCAAAATATTTTATTACATGTTCATTGTAGGATGTCCTTATAAATTGTACTCAAGCCTATTCATTATATGAGAAAGATTTCTGTGAGAAATACTTTGGACTTATTACTATCATAAGACCCCAACCTGACCTATGAGCAAAAGTCCCTACAGGAAAGGTTTCTATCATAGCAACCTGATTATTGAATGGAATAGGGACACTTGTCACCATAGATTGCCATAAAACTTCCAAAATTCAGTCTGGTGGCTATCTGTCTTTTAACCCAAGTCACTATAATTGTTATGGCTTAAACCACTCATTGAAAAATATCTGACCGACGTGAATCAGCATATTTAACCCAATAAATTTAAGAGAATCCTGAGTCATTATTTAAATTCAAGTACTGTCCTTCGAATTTTATGTGTTATTGGCACCTGCCAACGGTTTAAAATGTTGAAGTCGCCAAAATAATAATATCCCCTGCTCAGTACTTCTCTTGTAAAATTCTACTTCAAAGTTAAAATAAAAGCTTTAAATTTAAAGTAGCACTGTAATTCCTTTTGAGTAATTTATCTGGAGAATTCTTACATCATATGTCATCCACAACTTATCTGAGATCTACTGGGTTCATCTTGACTCTGATGTTAATGTATTCTGCAAAGATTTCAAGACAACACTAGTAGTGACCAACTCCAGACACATGCAACGATCACATTATTTCTACTTTGAAAGCCCCAGTTACAGATTATTATTAGACATATCAGATACCATGACTTTTAATTAACTGCATGTAGATCAGCTGGAGTTGGAGACAAGCAGAGAAAAGCTGGCACCATCTTTGAAAAAGCAAATCTGTATCCAGGTTGAAGCACGGCATCAGGAAACGTGATCTGAAGCCAGGCCCTGAAATAGTTTGTGGTTCAGACAGTTTCTCCTAATTGGCCACCAACTCTTCACTGAGGTCTCCTCTCCCAGTTAAATCCTGGACTTTTAGGAATAAAGCAGCAACAGGGGGAGGCCCCAGCGCTCCATGGAGACAAGACAAAAGGACCAGAACTGTAAACTCTGCCTGGTAAGTGACGTGCGCAGGACCAGCTGAAATACCCAGCCCCATTCTTTTGTATACACTTGCACTGGCTGGCTTTGAGATCGAATAGATGACTCTGCCCCTACAAAGTTTAGGCTGAAAATTGCTTTTTGGTGGTGGTGGGTTTTTTTAAGCGTCTCAGCAAGCTTTTCTACACTACATAATACATTTGCTCCAAAAGCTGAATCAAGCACACCGGGAGGGGGAAAAGCGACTCCAATTGAGAGCTGGTTTTGAAAAACATAAAATAGGCAAATCAAACCACCCCAAAATAGGGCTTGTCATAGAAGCAGCATGCTAATGCGACAATATCCCCATAGCTTTGTGGTTTTCTAGGCAAGTCCATTTTGCCAGCAGTGTTCTGAGAAACAAAAGACTACTGGCTTTCTTTCTATGGCACGACACAATCAAAAATAGTTTTCTAAAAACAAGATGTGATAGTCATTTGAAAATCTTTTCTGTAACTATTTAAGTTCAGAACATAAACCTTTCAGCATCAAATTTATAACTACACTAATCTCTGGATAACACAATTTAAAAAAAATTTTTTTAGCTTTAATATTCATTCCTTAGGGAAACACCAGCAGTATTTAAAGGGAAAAAAATTCCCAGAAATTATTTTAATTAACTTAGTAAGCTGGCTTGTTTTCATTTGGCCCAATTATTATTTTGGATGTCTATATAGTAGTGCCTTCTTGGGTATTTACATTGTTTTAATAAGTTAAATTTTCATCTTCCTACATTAAATTGAGCAATATATTTATTCTATCAATTACATTTTTTTCATTTGCCTTAAAATGAATGACATAAGACAAATGCCTTATAAACATGAAAGTAATTCCATTGGATGGCCCACATTTTAGTTTCTTGCCATACATCACAAAATGTTTTCATGGGAATATTTAATGAAGTTATTTTGCACTTTTAAAAGAATAAGAGACTAGATTTCCAAAGGCATCTGAGGTTTCCCATTGCCATTTTCCATAGCCTCATTTCCATAATGTAAAATGTACAAATGTTGCATGTCTATTTTCTAAAAATCAGGGTGTGTGTACTTACACAAAGTCTCAGACTGATTCCTCCTGGAGAAAGTTCCTTGAACAATTTTTAAAAGGGATCTTCAGAAGCAACTAACAAAATAGCGAATTCAACTGCTGCTTAAAATTCTTATCAACAGTCATTTAACCATTTATTGATTGCCTAGATATGGTTTCAGGATATGTAAAATGGTAGGAAAAGATAAGACAGTATTTCATAAAACTCGTGGCAAAAGTAATGGTTAATGATTTTAAATTAAACCTCCATATCATAAAAAGTCATGTAAATTGATCATTAGAATAAAAAAGGTTTAACATTAACATGAGAGTTCCTATAATAATCTGCCTTGGGTAAAGAAATAACTGGCAAACTTCTGTTTTCCACTCTTATAAAAACTGACCTTTTCTTGGGGTTTTACAAGTCTATTACCATGCAAATAGCTAATTCTTTGGGAAGCTGGCTTAAAGGTTTCAGTAGACTTCCATTGAATTCCTGAATTTCATACTGAGATTTACTTATGAGCCGCTGAAATGCAAAGAGTGCAGGCAGTTCAGGCACAAACACCGTGTCATTTTGTACAAAACTTTGATTTTTTTATTTGGGAAATTAAAAATATGATATTATATATATATAAACTTCTATTCCTCTATAAATATAGATGATCTTGTGATCGTGAACAGAATAAATGCATACCAAGTTCAAAAACATGGTCATGTTGGGTATGACAAACACAGAGCGTTCAGTTCCTAAGTACCAGTACCGGCATGTGATAAACTCTTACAAGTTTCAAACAATACAATCAGGAGGAGGATTTTCCCCCTCCTTTCCACAGAGAACAGAAGAGAATCATTTTCAATGGCTTTGAGAGGTTTACAAATTTCTGCAAATCTGTAAAAGGAGCACACAGGAATAGACGCGGGAGGCCGGCCGGCAACATTATCCTCTCGCATGCATGGCAATTATTTTGTTTCCTTGAAAAGCTAACCCATTCCATTTTCCCATCTGCCTTTCTCCTCCTGAAATCTTACCTATCTATTTTTTGTGGTGTCAATTTCTCCTTCCTTGAGATGTGAACAGTAACCTTAAGTTGAAAGTGTATTACTTGTACCTTTTAAGTTTCTGATACAGGTCTAATTATTATTTGATTAAAAATAAGAAAATAGCACTTCATTTGGGGAAAGGTCCATTACACTGATCCTCTTCTTAGAAGTTTTCATCTGCAGTCAATAGCGTGCTGTCCAGTTAAGGAAAGCAAAGGCCGACTCCGTAACAAAGCTTCCCAGGTGAACTCAATGTTTTCATTGTACTGAGGAGTAAGAGCTGAATGCTTGGGCTGTCTCAGTCCTACAGACAGAATGCCGGGCCTCGGTGTGCAATCAGAATTAACATTTTATAAACCCCAGCTTCGGTCTCTCTCAGCCCACACAAAGCTTCGTGCCTCTTCCCAAATCTCTGTAACCACAACTTTCCATGACGCTGACCAAACCCATACCAGGTTTGACACTAGGAAACGAAAATGAGCTCATCCACCAAAAATTATACTTCAAAAAGTTTGGCATTGGTTGTCCCACTCGCCCGCTAACCTTCTTGGGTGGGAGTGTCTGGGCGCTGAAGACTGTGTGGGGCAGGCTGGGGCGGCCAGCACCCACACCCACACCCGCGGGCCACTACTGAACTGGGGGACAAGGCTCCGGAGAGCGAAAAGCCGGCGTCAGGAAGTCAGAGGGACAGGCCTTCGAAATCTACCCTCCGGGTGAGGGCGGAACTGAAATGGACTGGGGCACACCCCCCGACTTTGGAAGTGCAGCGGAGTTCAGTACCTAAAGAATCCCCACCCCAAGCCTAGAAGGGAATGAGGAAGTTTGGGCGAAGCGACCCCGCCCCCACACCCCGCCCAAGCCGCCCCCCGCAGGGCTGGGCTCCCCAGGAGCCGGGGGCACAGCAGAGGGGGCAGTGTGGTGGGGGGGCACCCAGGGAGAGTCAGAGGGGTGGGGCACTTTCCCCCTCTTTTCCCTACTCTTGCCTTTTTCAATACACTGAAAAAGGCACCAAGGAAAAGACTCAAATAATTAAACCGCTCTAAATAATTAAAATAATAATAAAAAACAAACAAAAAAACCTGTGATCGGCTGTCATTTAAATACAAATATACTTACAAAAATCTTACACAGGCTATTTACAATCACAAAAAAACGGTACGAAGAGGGCTCTGTCCATCTCCCCCTCTCAGCAGTCAGGCCCTCAGAGCCCTTTGCCCCCAAGGACGAGCTTCTGCAGGCCCAGTGTTGTTCAAAGACTGCAAAAGTGTGAGAGCCTGGCTCCGACGGAATTCCTGCGGCTGGCTTTGGGGGTGGGGGGCGGGTGGCTGGCGGGTTTCAGACAGTGGTCTCCCCCTGTTTGCTATTGGTAAGCCGGGTATAGAATTTCCTCCAGGAGTTGAGGGTCTTGCCCGACCAGATCCAGAAGCCCGACGTGATGCCCACGATTAGTGTCATAAGGTACTTGATCATAAAGACGGTGAAGTCGGGGCTCATGGGTGGGTGCGGCGGTGCGCCCCCACCTGCCTGGAGGTGAGGGCAGGGGATGGCGTAGCTCTTGCAGCTCTGGGCCACCCAGCTGCGCTCCCACTGGTCCCGGAAGGCCTGCTCGTAGAAGTAGCAGGCGATGACGATGGTGGCGGGCACCGTGTAGAGCACGGAGAAGACCCCGATGCGCACCATGAGCTTCTCCAGCTTCTCCGTCTTGGTGCCGTCGTGCTTCATGATGGTGCGGATGCGGAAGAGGGACACGAAGCCGGCCAGCAGGAAGGACGTGCCGATGAACAGGTACACGAAAAGGGGCGCCAGCACAAAGCCGCGCAGCGCGTCTACGTTGTTGAGCCCCACGAAGCACACCCCGCTCAGCACGTCGCCGTCCACCTGGCCTAGCGCCAGGATGGTGATGGTCTTGATGGCGGGCACGGCCCAGGCAGCCAGGTGGAAGTACTGCGAGTTGGCCTCGATGGCCTCGTGGCCCCACTTCATGCCGGCCGCCAGGAACCAGGTGAGCGACAGGATGACCCACCAGATGGAGCTGGCCATGCTGAAGAAGTAGAGCATCATGAAGAGGATGGTGCAGCCCTCCTTCTTGGTGCCTTGCGCCACGGTGCGCGCCCCGTCCTCGGCGAACTTGTCGTTACACACCACCCGGTCCTCCAGCAGGAAGCCAGCGATGTAGGCCACGGCCACGGCCGTGTAGCAGCCCGACAGGAAGATGATGGGCCGCTCGGGGTAACTGAAGCGCCTCATGTCCACCAGGTACGTGAGCACCGTGAAGAGCGTGGAGGCGCAGCACAGCACAGACCAGATGCCGATCCAGGTGCGCGAGAAGCGCAGCTCCTCGGGCCCGAAGTACATGAGCCCGTACACCTTGGTGGGCTCACAGGGCGCCCCGCAGTCCTTCTCCCCCAAAAAGTGATAGTTGAGGTAGGAGGGCACTTTGAGGGCGCGCGGACAGGAGAATTTGCCTCGCTCAGACGCGCTGGCGCCCCCAGGAAAGCCGCCGCCACCGCCGCGGTGCCCCCCACCGCCGTACTGGGGATTGCTGGTCCAGAACTCGGGCAGCAGCGAGGGCGTCGGGGTCCCCTTGTCCGACGTGTTCTGACCCACGCACAGCTCGCCGGCTCCGTGCACCGGGAACTTCTCGCACTTGAGCGTGTCGGGCCACTGGAAGCCGAACTTGTTCATGAGCGCCTCGCAGCCCTGGCGCGCGCGCTCGCACAGGGAGCGACAGGGCGGCAGCGCCTGCTCCAGCACCGTGCACACGGGCGCGTACATGGAGCACAGGAAGAACTTGAGCTCGGCCGAGCACTGGACCTTCACCAGCGGGTAGAACTGGTGCACCTCGAGGCCCGCGTCCTCCTGGTTCGTGTGGCCCAGCAGGTTGGGCATGATGGTCTGGTTGTACGCGATGTCCGTGCACAGCGGGATGGAGATGGGCTGGCAGTAGCCGTGGTCCGGGATGGAGATGCCCCGCTCGCCGTTGTACTGCTGCCCGCTCGGCTGCTGCGGCGGCGCCGGCGGCGGGGGCTGCTGGCCGGGCCCGGGCCCCTGTCCCGCCGCCTGCGCCTGCACCCCCAGCAGCAGGGGTGCCTCCAGCAGCCACAGCAGCAGCAACAGCCGGCGCGCCAACCTCCCGGGCTCAGCTGGGGGGCGGCGATGGCTGTCCCCGTCCCCGCTCCCCTCCGCCGCCGGGCCGGCCCGGAGCGCCCGGGCACAAAGTTCCCAGCTCCCGCCGCCGCCGGCGGCCGGGGACTTGTTAGGCGCCTCCTCCTCAGCCATACTTTTTCGCCTCCTTTCTGGGCGCCGCTGGGCTGGAGCTCGTGGCGGGGCTGCTGGCGGCGGCTCCCCCGGTACCCGGGGCGATCTCCTCGGCGCCTGAGCCCTCCGCGGAGCTCCCGTCGCGCTCCGCCCGCTGCCCCGGCTCCTGCTCCGCGTCCCGCAGCCGCCGCCGCCGCGGAAACTTGCGATTCATGAAGCGCGGGCGGCGGGGAAAGCCCGGGTGGCTCCCGCGCGCCGGGGTCGCGTCCCGCCTTCGGGCCCCTCGGCTCGCTGGCTCCCGGCTGGCGGCACCGGGCTAGTGGCCACGACCCCGAAGAGAGCACAACTCTGGGCAGCCCAGGGGCCTCGGCTCCCCCCTGCGCCTCCGCCTCCTTCTCCGCCGCCGCCGCCTGACCATTTGTGTCAATCCCTCAACTCGCTCCCTCTCCTCTCTCGCGCGCGCCCTCCGACCGGTTTCCAGGCGCCCCGCAGTCTGTCTTTCACCAAGAGGGAGGAGCCTTGAAACCGACGCAGAACTGGAGGCTCAGGGACCGTCGCCCAATCGCCGCACCAGCTTTCCGGCGAAAGGGCTCCAACCGCCTGGTTCCGTGGGCGAAAGCCGGCGGCGGACGGGAGGGCGGGCGGAGAAAAAGGAGGAGCGGGGAGGAGGGAGGAGGGAGGAGGAGGAGGAAGTGGTGGTGGAGGCAGAGGCGCTCGCTGATCAGGCACAAAGAGCGGGTTTTCCTGGGAAGCGGGGCAGGCTTGGTTGCTTTTGCGGAAGAAAAGGCGAGAGCACGTAGGAGAACGGTCCCACTTGCTGCTAGAAATAATGAATAGGAGCCGGCGGGACTTGGCTGTTATTTCTTTGACCCGTTTTCCAGGTTTAAAATCCGGATCTTCGCGCTGGTTACAGGCTGCAGCCCCCGCGCTGCGATGGGAGCAGATGCCTGTAACTTAAGGAGCGCACAGCTTCCTCTGAGTTCTTGCCTGTCGAGGTTTTACTTAAACTTTTGCTCTAACAAACCCCGGCTGGGTTTGGCGGGCTTTGGACGCGCCATTTCCCCCACAGAGGGAAGAAAAACAACCACAAAACAAACTTTAAAAAGAAAAGGCAGAAGCTCAGTCCGCTACTATCATTCATGCAGTTAAACCCTCCTTTCCCTCCTCCGTAGCCAAGTCAGACACAAAAGCAAAGGAAGATTATCTATTCCTATCTAGAGATTTAAAAAGGGAGAATCCGACAAGGAAGCAGTGGGGAAGCCTCTTAGGGAGTGTCCTCTGCGCCTGAGAACCCAGCCATAAAGCGGGGCCAGAGTGGCACACACAGGTAGCCTCGATCTTGGTGGGGGGGGACACCTGATCCCTGGGAAACCCAGTGGACGGTGCACCTCTCTTCTGACAACGCCCAGTGGGTTTCCACTGGCTGGGTGGCTGCAAAACATTGGCCAGGTAGGTAGGACTGGTGACATCCATATCTGAAAGCATTTTCCCTTTCTCCTTGCAAAGTAGCACGTTCCATTTAGGGCAGGTAGAGGTGCGTTCTTGTTGCTTCCATGCAGGATTTTTAACAAGTTTCAGCCATGGGACTTAGTTTTGTCCTGTAAGTGCCATTGTATTATTAATTCTACCAAGAATGTGTTGGTCTATGATTACAACTCATTCTGGAGACACTTTTCCCTAATTGTTTTCTCTGAGGAGTCCATCCCTCATTGGGTTAATAAATATTTACCAAGCGCCTACTATACTATAAGCATTGTTAAGTAGTAGGGTGCAGAGATGGCCCAGCTGGAGAGGAGGGTGCAGCGTCAAGAGGCCCAGATGTGTTAGCCAGATAGAGCCATGCTGCCCCCAAAGCTGACACCTCAAGGGAAGCACCCTGTGGTGCCCTGGCAGGGTGAGGACTTTAAAGGGAGAGCTGGATGAGGGGTGCAAAAGACTCAAACCTGTGTAACCTGTGGGTGGGGGCCATGATATCTCCGGGAGAAGCAATAGAAAGGGACTCATCCCTCATGAAAATGAACTTCACCACAATTATATAGGCAAGAGGGTACTATTCAATGTTGCTTTTCCCCAAAGCGTAACAGGACCAGTTTAGACATTGGAAGGATAACTGGTTTACGGATGATGGGAAAGATAGAACTTCAGGCAGGCTGCCCATGGAAAGCAGGTCCAATTAGCAAGGTAGATTAATCTGTAGGAAGGTGCTGCGTAGTTAGGAGAGAGACAGATGCCAGCCTTACCTAGATGCAGAAACTGCAAGGTGGTGAAAAAATAGGAAATTGTTCACTACAGAGTAGTTTGTAAGCACAAGTAAGCCTGTGCTTATCTCACTTCTTGGACAATCTGACACTGCTGTAAAGCTTTAACATTTGACACAAAGTGCATTATTTATGTTAGGCATTACTTGTAATACACACTGAATGTCATCATCATGCATGTGTCTCTAAAGAAAACAAAGTGACATATTTTTATCCTTTTTCCAACTCATGATGACTTGTAGGACAGAGTAGAACTGCCCCCAGTGGGTTTCCAGCTATTTACAGGGGTAGACAACCTCAACTTTCACCCTCCGAGTGGCTGCTGCTTTCGAAGTGCTAACCAGCCCAATGTGTAACCCATTACATCGTGACCAGGGCTCTGTGTTTGTCCTAGATGCATATATTGTTTTCAAAGATTTCTTAAGATTTTCATGGCTATGAACTTGGGGAAGCAGAGCCTCAGGCCATTCTTCCAAAGCATGTCTGGATGGATTTGAATCACCAACCTTTCAATTAGTCATCTAAAACCTACTAATTCATTAAATGCGCATTTGTTTAAAAGCATTTCAAAGGGTTTTCTAATTGTACACCTGTTATCATAGGTTAGTGTGTGTGTGTGTGTGTGTGTGTGTGTGCGCGCGCGCGCGCGCATCAGCAATAATCCATGAAATATTTCTATTTTGCAAAGGAGGTAGGGAAGCACTGGTGTTCTCTGAAGTTCTTTGAGTAACACATGCCACAAACCCATGGATGCTTTCCCCTTCATCTAACTCTAGCTAAAATGTGTCTTAGAAGTGAGGCTGGAGAGGCTCTGTCACTCATACTTAGTTTGGATTCCTGGACATCATTCTTGATGCAGTAGCAGCTCAGAAAAGAGAAGGGCCCTCCCTGAGGCGATTGACACAGTGGCTGCAGCCTTGGACCCAAACATGGCAATGATGGAAAGGATGGTGCAAGACCAAAGCAGGGCTTTTTCTCTTGCACTTGGGGTTGGGGTCGGCTGGAACTGACTGGACAGCACCTAACCACAGCTCCACCCTGATGCTCACTCCTCTGGTGACCAGTAGCCCATGCTTCCTACCTTCCCTCAGCTGTCTTCTGCCGCCCCTTTTCTCTGGTAACAATGTCCATTGTTCTGTTCCATTCTCTAGAGGCTCGTCTAGGTGACTGAGCTGAATGAAAAGTGGATTTACTCTAATGCCTTTATTACCAAGAAGACTCACTTGTGTTAAGCACCACCTCCACTCCTCCCCCTGCTCACCTTCTCTGTGAGGATAGACTAAAAACTGCACCCCTACGACCTCTAACCTCCCCCACTCCTCCCAGGGCAGAATAGTCCCTGTGGCAGCTTGCCACTTCTCAGAGGAGCGGGCAGTACTCCATTGCTTCAAAAGTTGGTGTACCGAAATAACAACTCGTTTTATCTACGTTACAGTGGAGACTTGAAACTATGACCAGGGTTAAAAAGCAAGCATATCCACATACATCATATACTAAGCCAAGCCTATTGCCATTAAGTTGATTCCAACTCATAGCAGCCCTATAGGACAGAGTGGATCTGCCTCATAGGGTTTCCAAGAATGTATGTCTTTAGAGGAGACTGCTTAATCACTTTCCCACCAGGGCTTTGGTGTGTGTTGTGGTGTGTGTGTGTGTGTGTGTGTGTGTGTGTGTGTAGTCCTGGTGGTGTTCTGGGCCACATATTGTGCTGAAAACCACAAAAGCACTTTGATACCACCAATCACCCCATGGGAGAAAGATGAGGCTTTCCACTCCCGTAATGAATTGCAGTCTTGGAAACTCATAGGGGCAGTTCTAGTCTGTCCTATAGGGTCACTGTGAGTCAGAATTGACTCAGTGGCAGTGAGTTTGGTTTATGTTCCCACACACATACATATACACGTACACACACACAAGGAGTCATTAAGAAAATAGTGGGAAATGGCATTTTAAAATTATATATACATATACATATTAGACTATGAAGCTGGAAGAAATCAAAGACATTATCTAGAAACTTGTTCATTTTCATTTTATCCAGTTTACAAATAAGAATACTAGACTCAGAAAAGTTAAGGGCTGTGGCTTCTATTAAATGAGCTTGCTGGTTTGAATTTTCTGTGTTCATTTTCACAACTATTGTTCTTATATTTTTGTTTTACAAAAGCATTTCTACATATGATTCCCTTCTATGGATTAGTTTTTTAAATGTTTTTTTAAAATGTTTTTAAACACTGTAAAATAAGAAAAAACTTTTCTGAGAGCTATCATCCAAAACTTAAAAAAAATCTACACTTTCTATTTATAATATCAATATCGTTTTTCTATACAGAACTTATGCAATATAGGGGAAGCTATTAAAATCAGGAACAGCACATGACTGTAACCAATAGCAACCAGTAGTATGGAAGATGCTCTTTGGGGGAGATAAGGAAGGCAAAATATTATAGGAAAAACATGAGCAGCATATCTTTATGAACTTGATTTAAAAAATATTATCACCTAGATCAAAATGGGAAACATAGGCTAATCCCTATTTGAACTTGGTTCAAATATACAACCTGCACATTCTCAGTCAAATTTTCTTATATCAAAGATCTTGTTTTATCAGGCCTTTTCCAAATCATCCAGTTTCTGCAGACAGATGTGCAGTTTGCATGTGGCTGGTTACCAGGACAGAGATCAGTGCCTGTGAGACACAGCTGCATGCACACGAGCAGCTGGTGAATGCAACGGCTCCACCTCTTAGACCTAAAACCCGAGAGGGCTTGTTTGGTTGCTGGGTTGGGAAAGACTGGCCTCCACTGCCTCTGCTGAACAACACAGGTTCAAAGGACTGAACCCCAAGAGAGCAGTGCATTGTGTGTTGGGCTATGCACCACAAGCTCAGCAGTTCAAAGCCACCAGTCATTCCTCCGGGGAAAAAAGATGAGGCTGTCAGTCCTGGTAAAGAGTTAGTCTCAGAAACCCAAGGGGAAGTTCGACTGTGTCTTCTAGGGTCACTAACAGTTGGAATTGACTTGATGGTAGTGACTTTGAATTGGTTTAGTATGTGTACTTTCAGCATGGTTTTGCTGAACGTA